CTAAGGATAAAATCTGTTTTATTTTCCCAGCTATTCCAACTGATCATCTGAAAGACCAGTACCTGGTCCTGCATGTGCCCTTTCACCCTCTTGCCTGCAACAAACTACCAGTAACACTGTAACTGGATAAATTTTTACTTAATACAGCTCAAGGCTGTGGGGGTGATTTTCCAATTCCAGTTAGAGACATTACACTTTATCTTCTGCTTTGTAGGAGCTGTACATCAGTTGATTTCCATTCCTCCAACCTAACTCTGCAAAAAGAAATATGAAAACTTGCTTTTGCCAAAATAAGTGGAAGGATGAAAAAGGAGAGAAAAGAATTGGATGTACTGTTAAATATTCACTTACAGAGAAGTTCATATGTCAAAGCCAGCAAGTGTAAATGAAATGGTGGCTTTTTGTGCACTCACCTCAACTTTAGTGTGCAGTTTTTCTGGTTTGTCATTTGCTGCATCTAGAGCCTGGCTCTCATCAGATAGAAGCACACCTTTAGCTGTTCTTTATTGCAGATTGTGCTACAAGTTCCAAAGACAAAGAATCCAGACTTACTTCATATAGCTTTTGCTGCTCACGTCCTTGTTAAATTAACTGCCTAGCTTTCTGAGAATAGCAGTGTGTTCTGTTTATTGTGGGCAAATGCAGTCAGAACAGGGGGGGAAAAAAAATCTGTTGAGCCGTGCAAACATTTTCCTGGCTGAAACTTGCCAGGTATTAAAGAATGTTGCTAATTAAAGCAGAAGAACTGTGTGTATCCAAGACTTCTAAAAAGACTTACAGTTAAAGTAGTCGGGATGCTAACAGATGTCTAATCTTTAACTTCGCCCTGCTTAACTAACATAGGACTGCTTTGGCAGAGGTATTTCAAAAAAAGTTTCAGGGAAGATCAGAGGAATATTAACTGATAAACCTGACATCTGTGTAAGGCAAATTAGCAATAATTAGAAGTACAATTAGTGAGCACATAAATAAATATGGCATATCGGGGAAGAGTTGACACAGCGTCGTTAAGAGAAATTATGCTTCATGGTCATATCAGAGTACTTTGAAGAAGTCAGCAAGGAATAAGGAAGGCTTGGTTGATACAGTCTGCTGGGATTTCCAGAAAGCATTTGAAAGGGAGCTGAGGAGTCACAAAAGGGATCAAGTTTTAGGGCAGATTCAAAACAAGCAAGTGAAGGTGGTTTTCAAAGCGGAAGGCAGCCGAACAGATGTACTCTGTAATGCAGGATGTCTTAACAGATTTTTCATGTAAAATGGCTGATTAGATGGACTTACAGAAGTGTGCAGCCACCATCCTCACTTCAGAAGGTTCAAATTGTAATTTTTTTCAGGTGAGGAAAGTGTTTGGTGAAAGCATCATTATATTTTCATCTGTTTCATGTTCTTTCTTTAGCCTCTATTTTGGGTGCTGCCAGCGGCTGAATAGTAGGTATCTTCTCTGACCAACACTGTTCTCACAAGGGTGCAATTACACACATTTAATGTTTTCTAAAAATGCTCTCAGTTTTTTCAAGTGGCGTGCTCTGTGCATTTCATAGATTAACTGTTGTGATATATCACACAGTGTAATGTTTTGAATATGCTCTTGTCAAAATATTTTGTTTTTTTTCCAGACAGACATCTGCTAATCTGGGGACAAAGAGTAGCAAAGTAGAACATAAATCTGTGATTTTCTGCTAGAACACTGAGAGAATGTCGTAACAGCCATCAGGCAGACACCATCTGTAATACCATAATTGATTTCTAGCATCACTTGTAATTAAATAAGAAAAGTGTGTACCTATTTACTAAAGGTACCTGTTTACCCAGCTACTTAGTACTGTTGAACGGGAAACCAAATATGTGCATATGTTATCTGTAGGCTCCACAAGAAGTCAGAGTAGAGACACTGGTGAATATGCTGCAAAGGAAAGGCCAGCCAGACAAAAGGACTGCCCATGCAGCCATCCCAAACCTGAAGTGTACCACAGGCATCACTGGCCTAAAACATACTGAACATATGGCCTAAAACATACGTGAAACACACATCAGACACATAGATCAATTACAGCATGAAATTTCACTATTTATTTTCATATACATTAAAGTGAAGAACAAGTGAAGGCATCAGATTAACAATTGCTGGCAAATCAATCTGAACTGTAAAATGTGTTCTTCCCCAAGAACCTCCAAGATCACAGAGTTGGATTATTTTTTTCAGTCAATTTTTGTCATATTCAGGCATAGGTTCAGGCATTTTTATTTCTTTTAGTATTGTTCCTGCAAGTATTATTACTTGAATGAAAAATATGGCAGTTGTCTTACACTACCTTTAAGTCACATGTTCTGGTTTATCTGGCAATCAACAGAATATAATAATGAGAATGAAGAAAAAAAACCAAAAACCACATACCCATACATTTTCATTTACAGAAGTCATTTAGGTTTTCCAGACTCTGGATTATCTTATTTATTCATTTATTGAAGGCGAGTTTTGCAAAGAGGCTTCATAATATGTTATTTGATAACTGTTTTGTCCTTGTTTCAATAATTATTAAACCCCTTTTCCATTAGTTCAAAATAAATATTTATCTTCTTACAAAAAATTGTAAAACTTATATATGATTTAAAGTCCTGCTCTAGAAATCAAATGTTTTCCCCCTCAAAATGCCAAAATACAAGGATGTGCTATTAAATGCTATTAAAGCCTGCTTAAATTACATTTTGTTATAAAATGGTTGTACATATTTTTTTATATAATTGCGTAAGTAAGAAATGGATATTTTATTCTTACAGTTTGTTCACTATGAGCAAGTTGAAATACCTGCATGAAATTTCTTGTGTTAAGCCACATTCAAGATAGCTAATTGGAATAATGATCTTCAGTTGAGGTTTTCATCTTGAGCTTTCTTCATGGAACGTTAACACCCTTTTTTAATATTGCAACAGCATCATTCCATATTTTCTTCTAACCTAAGTGTTGTGAAGGAGCTTTTAGAAGTTATATGTCTAATTTTCTGTAATACCTTTACTAGGAGAATTCTTCACCAGTGACATCTGATGATCTTTAATGTCACTCCCTTGAAGGTATTCTCTGCTGATTTTCTTCCATTTATCACTTTTTCATGAAGCCTTGGAAATGAGTGCTTTTTTGTTTTCTCATTATGATGACAGATGATAGTAACTTTACAGAAACTAGCAGAAATATTCAAAAACAAAAAGTGTTTTGAATTTTATTTAGCTGATAGTATTCTAAAGTAGACATTTAAGTCTAAAACATTTTTCATGAAGTATTCTGAAATTCCTCTAGCTTTTGTTATTACAAAACAAGTACTGGAAATTTCAGGCTCTCTCCCCTGACTTTTATCATAGTGATATTTTTAAAAGGCTGTGAGAACAAAGTACAAGGTTTATGTTCTGTTATATAAAAATTTCTCCATCTGCAGAATTAGGATTTGTTTTTAGGGATGTACTGGAAATAGGGAGTTGGTATTGTCATGTAAAAATCAACGAAATCATAATGAAACTACACAGATAACTGTATCAAAAGTTCTTTATGTCAGCTACGAGATTCAATTATCATTGCTCTTTTTTGATGAACTGCTGGGAAGAAAAAAAAAAATTGTGTTCCACTCCATCTTCCACAGCTTGTGAGAATGTACTTGGCCTCATTTGGCTGATTTTGGTTGCAAATCAAGTCCACCTGAATATTTAAAACTTAACAAATTATCCTTGCTGTCCTCTGCCATTAGTACAGGTCTCAACAAAACTAATGCAAGGTCAGGTAGGTTCTCTCTGCTTCCAGCACTCAGATATACTCTGATTAGCTCAGATTAATATCGAAAGCTACCAGCTCTTCATAACTTTTTCTTCTCATGCCAGCAGGCTCTGTAGTATGAACAAAAAAAACCAGCCTACATCTGATGAAGTATATTGCCCTTAATGATATTTCCATTATTTTTACTAAGTCACTCCTTCATCTCCATTTCAGCTACTGCATTACATCTAGAATAATAAAAGCAAACATCCTGCCTTTTGACTTCCTGCACTGTAAGCCTTGGACTTTTTCTTAAGTTGAGTTTTCAGCTATTGAAGGCAGCTGCTCATTGCTGTTAATAAACTACAACTGAACTAACAGTTTCTGAGCCCACATTTCCTGACAAGTTTTATAATCTCTGGTGACCAAGGTGATAGTGATCTGAATCCTGTATGTCATTCCAAACCGCCCATGTCATGAGAAAGCTTGTCCAAGTTGTTCAGATTCTCAGTGGTTTTCAGTCTTTTTAGGATTGATTTCCAGTTCCTCTTTCCTTTCTTTTTTTGAAAGTTCAAATTCAAGTTCCTGTTTCAATTCCTCCTCCTGGCCTTTTAATTTTTTTGGTTTTGATTATGAGTGTTCCTGAAGAAAACATGGAAGTGAAGCGCATGATTGTTGTCACATCATCATAATAAACATTAGGAAATGCACTTTTAGAATATTGTTGTAAAATACATGATGTAAGATATCTTCAGGGTTTCCTAAATTTGTTTTTCTTCATTGACACAGGAAATGTCCTGTTATTCTTTGTGCTGTCTTTGCAAAGTCGTTTTGTTGAAAAAATAGGTGTTAATTTTATCAACATCAGCTGTTTTCTTTGAATGGTGTGGTAGGGTTTTTTTAAATGTTGTTGTTATTTCAATCTCAATTCATTTGTCTTTGATCCTTCCAAATAAAGAAATCAGAAGAGTTCTCATGGAGTATCTATGCTAGCTGGTCTATTTGTGTGAATTAAATGGGAAGAAAAATGTATCAAAAGATCTGTTTATCTCTGCGTCTTTTGTGTGTGTATTTGCACATCTGTATTCCTAATTTGGTGGCTAATCTATACTTACAAAATGCTAAAATACAGTATTTACTACAAGGTACATAAAAACTTTGACAATTCCTTTTCACTGTCATTTAGTGTATACATATAACTGAGCTTATGTATAACTGTCTTTTCTAATTCTGTGGCTCATATCTTTCACTTTTTTTCCAGCTCTGATAGCCATTGGACGATACAGCATGACAATAGAGACAGTGGATGTTGGGTGGTGCAAGGAAATTACAGACCATGGAGCCACCCAAATTGCACAAAGCAGCAAGTCTCTCAGATACTTAGGGCTGATGAGATGTGATCAGGTAAGCAGCATTCACATGAACAGGTACCTGCTTCAACATAAGTGAGAGAGTGAGTGTTGATGTGTGTAAATGTGAGAGTGAGAGAAAGGGAGAATAGATTTGTGTCTTGCTGTATGAATAGGCTTGGTGTTCACTGCTGTGGTAAACTTTGCTAAAAAGTATCTAGAGAGCTAAAAAGAGCATTAAAACATTTTTGCTGACATAGATTTTCAAAATACACCCACAGGCTACACCTACAACCTCAAGTAGTCACACAAGTTTTATGTAAAATCTGCCCTCTGAGGATTTTGAGTATTTTTGGCTAAAAGTGATTGGTATGTCATGCCATTACAGTGATAGACTGCTCTCTGTTTTAAAAAGAAGAAAAAAGAAACAATAGAATACTAAAAATACTGCAGTGCTACCTCCAGAGTGTGATTTTGTATTGGTCTGTGTTCTTGCTCATATGTAATAGTCTTGAAAACAGGGAGAGGTTTGAATAAAACCATAACACTTCAAAATAGAAATAAAAATGTAAAAAAATTAATATCTAGCTTTCTCACTTGGAATATATTAGAAATGCCTATAAGATAATTTTACTAAAAACCATATTTTTAATAGCATTTCTTTTTTTACACAATATTATTTCACAATTTGAACTCAGTGTAAGTGGTAACTTTTCTCCTCAGCTGAGAGAGAGGCATAGCTACATAACATTTATGTTTGAAAGCCTTTTGGGGAAAAAAAGGGGGTGCATGATTGCCTTGTGCTCAAGCTAATGAATTAGGGAGACTGCACTCAAAATGTCAGTTTGGTGGAGTGGCCAAAGAAGTAGGAACATTGTTCAGAGTGAGGAAAGACAAGTCTAGCTCATTCATGTCTTACTTGTTTTCAGAGACTCTATTAATATATTTGTTCTGTATCTTTATGAACATATTTAAACTAATGTTGAATTAATATTCTTTAAATTGAAGCTTTTCCCTCACATTTTAGCTTCAGAAGCCCCTGAGTTCCACTAACAACAAAAGCTCTCTCTGCCTTTTTCTTTTCGTTACTCTACTCTGGTCTTACTCATTTCAGTATAAACATGCAGAAAAAAGATTTTCACTCTAGATTTGTTCAAACGTGGAAAATATTGTAGTATGTATAGTAAGACTTACCAATAACAAACATCTTGACTGGAACCTCTGTGTTTAGAGCACCTTAGTTCACAGCCCAAATGTTGTGGGTATAGACAGGTGTTTTTTAAACATTTGGATATATGATACAGTCTTTTATCAAATATATTTCTTCTGCTGCTTCTTCCCCTAAGGCTCATCACCCTTTTGTCCATCCATAAAGGAGAAAAATGTGATTCCTGGGATGTAGTTTAGTTTTTTCATGACTTTGTAAACCATGTCAAATACTACTGACAGTGTATTGTAAAGTACAATATAGCATTCCTTTGGGAATTATTCCCACGTCTCTCGGAGGGCTGCCTTCTCCTGACACCATTTCACACTCTAATTATAAGCAAATTGAACCCACAAGGTAATGCATAGCTCCTGGAAGCACATCACTTGTTTTCTGAAGCTAACTTACATGTTCTTATTCAGCTATATATTCAGTTGTATTCCTAACAGTTCCATCTTTTTGTATATAGCAAATGAGAGAAAAGCTCATGTCTCCTGAGAAAAGATGAAACCAGTGCATTTCCCATACAAGACACAGAATTTAGTTCTATTGTTGTCTAGATAGCATTTACTCATAGTTATTACTAGTTACATTCTATTCTCCATGTTCATTAAGCTCCTAGACAAAGATGTTTTTACCTAGAATGGAGAGAGAACATCACTCTATATATAGGCTTCAGGAATCATGGCATAGTTCAGAGGTGAGAGAGAAAGATGTCTGGGATCAGGGAATAAATAGCTAGAAGTCACTGGAAGTTCAGTCTCTGGTTTCAGATCTGAAAATACACCTACAGGGACTGTATATTCTTCAGTCATCACAAACCAAACTTCAGGGTCCAGCTGTGATTCTCAACATAAGCATATCTCTCAGGTATGCAAACTTCTAGTTGGATGTGACCTGAAGAAACATGTTTTTTAATTCTAAGCTGCTTCATGCTCAAAAACATTACCATGAGTCTTTTGCAATACTTTACAGAAGACAGTTGAAAACAAACAAACAAACAAACAAACAAAAAAAGATCCACAGTGGTGGTGAATAATAATTTCTAGGTCAGTTGTAAAGTTAGCAATAGCATTTTGTAAACCCAGCTTCAGAAAGTTTTCATTGCAGGGAGAGGTTTAGCACTTGGGAAGAATTGCTCTGTCTACTGAAGCTGACTCCAGTTAATCTCCTAAACTTTAGTGTTTTATAAGAGCCAATAGAAGAAAAGAGTGTGAGTTTCTTTGATGGATTGTGCTAAGATTATGTACTTAGAGTATGTTCAAAGGGTTACTTGACCTTGGGAATTAGATCTGACCCTGAATCACCTGATCAATTTTACGTGTATTTATTTTGTGGATTTAGTAAATGTTAAACAATCAGCAGAGATCTAATAAGTGCAATAATTTTATCCAGTCTTCAGCTGCTATAGAAAATCAATGACGTTGATGGCTGAAAACAAGTTTTACTACCTCATCGCTTAAACTCTATGTACTGCAGTCTGTATTTTTCTTAATTGCTGGTTAATGCTTTCCTAGTTCTTTACACATCATCTATTGTCTTGTTAAAGTAAATTGCAAGATGAAAAAATTGTATTTTCTGACAAAGATTCCATGCAGATAGGAAAGCAGCATTGACTGTATGCCTGCTTGTGTGAACGTTTGTGTGCGTGTGCATGTGTGTGTGTGTGTGTACACTTGTGTGCGTGTTCAAAGTATGGTAGCCAAACTTGTTAAGAAATGAGGAAATACTGTTAAAGCATTGTAGTACTAGGATTACCACTGGGAAACATTTTCTTGCTTGTGAAGCCCTGATGGGAAAAATAGCAACACAGACAGAATGAAGTAAGTATCCTTGACTTGAAAGTTTTTGGCAGCTGGAAGATGGCAGCTCCCTTTTTTCACTGCAAATGAACAGAGAAATTACTGAAGAAAACCATGTCTTCAACTGTCTCTCCCCAGTATCATGCAGAACTAATTTTTTCCAGTGACTGCTCTTTTAAATTAAAAATGTCAATGTCCAGCACATCATTAGAGGGAATTCTTGGGTGGTGCAAAAGGGTTTATTTACATGCCCTGTTGACTGAAATTCTTGTGTTTGGACTGTTGCCAGCTTACAGTGAAGAATGGGTTAGATTTTCCCCATCCAACCAACCATCTTTTTCAAAGGCACTGAATATTACACTGGTACCAGGTAGCATTTGTGCCTTTCTAGGATTTCCTAGGCATTGGAGAGGAAGTACTTAAACAGAATTACATAAGGAACATATGTACGTAGACTTCAAATGGTTGCCACTAAAATACCCTTTATGACCCAGGCTCTGTGGAATTTCTTTGATATGCTCTTGACACAAATTAAAGGCGTCAAGGGTCCTCCCGAGAAAGATCAGAGAGGCTGCAAGCTTGGGCAAAGGCGGGCTCTGTTTTATGCCATTGATTATCTAAGTGCCCTCAGGCAGTGGGTCTCAGTAGATGCAGAGCATTATTGATCCACACCATGAAAATAATCAAATTATTCATTTCTCATCAAACTGCTGTTGCCATGACCTTTCTTTTTATCATGTTCTTTACCATCTAACATGCACACCACAGGAGCAATACGTTCTTTGCCTGAAAAATAAATGTCGTTGTATTTAGAAATCTCATAAAACCCGCTGACATTACCATGAAATCATCATAATGGGGGCACGTATTTAGGATGGAATTTTTCTAATGAGCATTTCAACACTATCTTTTCAACATTTAATGCTACTAAAATAGCAACAGTTGCTATTATACAGAATACAGAATACAAATGCAGAATACAAAAATCAAGTATCAGGAAATCCTAAAAATCTTTCAGAACTCTCCATATTTTGTTTTACAATACATAAGTAGATAGAATTATTTTCAATGTAAGATCAGTAGGAGGAAGGTTACCGAGAAAATGTCTTTCTATTCTAATTGTCACTAGCACCTCCACAATGGAGTCAAATTTGGTTCTCTCTGCACTACATAGCAAGGGTTTCTGCAGCCTTCATAGAGCTCTGAATGCTCTGATACTGCTAGAGAGGTTGCAAGGCAGCCTGAATGCTTGGGCCTGTATCCTGATAGCAGCCTAGTTGCCAAAGCCAAACATCTCATCCAGGAAACTAGAACTCAAGAGATCCTGTCGTATATGTGCAACCTACTGCTTGTATTTCCACGGCCAGCTTTGGTAGAGCTAGCTTGATCTCTGCAGAGCCTGCAGTGTACTGCTCAGGCAGAGTGAGGTCAGTCCCTTAGACTATTAACAATAGATGGACTCTGAGAGCCTGTTGTCCAGACCTCCAAAGGTTTTTCAGAGATCATGAGGTAGACTCTAAATGTTTGCAAGTGCTTATTCTTCGGACAGTGCACATTGCTAGTTGCCAGCAAGCACACACAAGCAGATTCAGAACCAGTGAGACATTTCCTCCCATTTGGTGACTTTCATGGATGCACGCTGGCTTACAGCACCCCTGACAGACATGCATCTTTTGGGAGATACTCTGCTTCTCAGTCAGAGTGTAGAACACAACACTGTCCTGAAGCTGTTTTCAGCAAGAACTGTGTGCAAATGCATCACTGTATGTTCTCCATATCCATGTGTGTGTACAGGCACCTAGCAGCACACGCAGCAGCACAGGTTATGTGCATCACAAAAAATGAATGTCATGGTTCTGATTCTCCATTTATTTTGAAAGCAGTAAAAGATTAGATCAGTAGTTGTTAGCAGCTTAGGTAGGCCATTTTAGGGTTTTGTAATTGCAAGAGATGCAGAGGCCATGGCATTTCTGTGGCGTTCCATAGGGCCTGTGCACAGCAAACCACCCCCAATCACTGGCTGCCTCCTCCTGTACTGCTGCCTGG